TTTTTTTTATTTAGAAGGTTGAACGCGAGCCTGATTGAAAGTAGTTGCGGTCGACCTTAGTAAATTACTCAAGATGATGAGAGTTCAGGACCGATATAATGTGATAAATGTCGAGTAATTCATTTCTCTTTTATTAACTGGGATCCTGATATATAGCTACTACACGGTATTAGAAGCCAGATCTGTCAACTTTTCCAATGTACACAAATTTAAAAAGATAATTAAATATCACTTTTAGTTATCAGTTATCGATAGCACTAGGTTAATGACATTAGATTTAAGATATGAAGAGTAAATGAAGTACAGGAATTTCAAAGTTCTACATGAATCTATTCTTAAACTTGTACCTATTTTGTATTATATTTTGTTACATTGTTTTGTTTTTATGTCCACTGTAATGTACTGATGAGGCAATTAACAGGACTAATAAGAAATATAATATTAAAGGTCAAGTATTATTTTTCTTTCATTTTTATGTTTGTTCATGAATTGTCTAAATATGTATCTACTTTGTGTGTTATGCACACATTGTATATATTTTTCCTTAATCTATACATGTATGTGATTAAATTTAATGTTTTGAGAAAAACATTTCAAACGAATATAGTTTGATTGTAAATAACCTTGCAAAAATGATCATATTGTATAAAACAAAACAATATTACCTTTGTTCTTGTTTGTTTTGTTGGAATATTTTGATGCGATGGATTTCGTCCTTTGACAAGTTGTTTTGCGAATACGATTCCAAAATAGAATAAATTATACATATATAGTGAGCTCATCGAAATAATGTAAAAAATGTTTACAAACTAAGAAACTTTTAATCTTTTTAGATTTTTTCGTATTTTTTCATTTGTTGGTATATAAATTGACTTATTAGGCTACCCTTTCATTAATCTGTGGCGATCTAATGTTATTAAAATTGATAATAATCGTATATTTTACAGCTTAATTTTAATATTTTATTATGTTATATCTAATAATATAAATTGCTCGAATATCAAAAACATGATGTTATCTACATGATCTGGTATATTTCAACTTTCCAGTTTACGTCTATCATACGTGCCAAACGTACTCAATATATTCCAACACATGATTCAGGTATTGTTCTAAGTTGTTATGTATTGTTTTATTGACATTCATTCATCTATCAAATAGGTGGAACTTCAAATAAATATTTGAGGTATCGACTTATAATAAAATGAAGTAACGTTGTAGCGAAACAAGTTCTGTTACATTCAAGGTGTAATCTATCAAAGATATCTTATAAATATTAAATATAAGTTAACCGGTTTCAAAAACTAATTTATTTTTATCTATAGATAAGGATTCTCTAACCTTATTATTGTATTGCATGGATCGTACTAGATACGTTATACATGACACTAAAGGTAATTTTAAGAAATCTACAAATAGGGAATCTAAACAAAGATAACCCGGTCATTACTGTGTTTTATAAATAATTTGTTTACATTTCTTATCGAGTGATAGTGACGTGGCATATATTAGTAGGAAGGACTACGATCATTTATCAAAAAAGAAAACGTGTCTCAATATAAGGAATGGCTGATAATAAGTTATAAATACATTTTATGTTAAGCTTAGCTACAGAACGGTTCATATTTAACAACAATCGGTTTATTGTCTTTAAACCTAATCTTCTTAAACTTACATTACCGCGTACCATCAGGTTTACAGCCCTAAACATTAAATATTGTGTTCACCGAAATCATTAGTAAGAGACGGCAAATACTTGTTTATTATTTAACGGAATTGTCTTTGTACTTGCCCCTTGTTCTTGTTTTTCTTAGTAGAATATGAGATTACTCACATAAAGTCTTTTTGTTCTTTGCAGAATTTGAGATTACTCATAGAAAAAACACAATGTTATCTTAGGAGGCTCAATTCTAATGATAATGCTTGTGTCATAAACTAAAATCAAATAACATTTTATTCTAATAAGCTTAGTTCAAACTTTATAAATAATACAATCACGAAAAAGGAACAGTCCCAAGTCACAAAACTAACTAAACTTACAAATTGTCTCTCTCATCTCTGTAACTTTGTAATGATGTTGGCGGAATCCACGTCTTTTCAATATTTTTTTCGTATAGCTTAGACGGAATGTAACAGGAGAGATCTGTGTTTAGTTCATGTTTTTTTAATAAACTGATGCAATGTTCTTAGGTGTTTCATTCGTAGGTTTTCTTATATTATGTCCGAAGACAGTTTTATCTATGGAAAACTATGATACTTTAAGTGTGTGAGTTCACGTTTGTTCGAAATAGACATAAAAGTCATCTTTCTATGAAAAATACTTTATATTAATTGCAGAGCTTCTATATGTTAAATGAATTAATTCTTCGTATTAATTAAGAATTAAAGGATAATTTATTTTGCAAAAATAAGTTTAAAACTTTAAAATTTTAAGTTCTTGTTTTTTATTCTCTGCATTCTACTATATGAGTATAGACCTTCCAATCTGCAAGATTCCAAAATGTGATTGAGAACTGACATGAATGAATGCATAAATTAAATATATTAAGTATTTTGAATGTTAAAAATAAAAATGTTAATTATTGAATTTCACATTAAGTACCCGAATAATACAAATGGTCGGGTTTTGAACTCGCGGTAGGTATGGTATTTTAAATATATGGTTTCAAACCTATGGAACCATTTCACGATATTATTTTTACCACACATTTTTCTGTAGTATCAAATAATACAAAATCGCAAAAGAATCGGATCTCAAAGAACATAGTTTAAATGAATATTAATTATAATTTATAAGACATTGATACACTCTTGATTAGTTGCTATAAATTCCTAGCATATTTTGTTTGAAAAATATAAAAAAAATATTTCTGTGTTTGTGAGTTATAACAATGATGCATTTTTATAACGAATTATGAGGAAAATGTTTGATATAAATTCACATCACGTTTTCTTAGTATATGTCTGAAGTTGGTTTCTTATTTAAACTATGGCTCTATATCGTGAGAGACCAAACGTGTGTGTATGTAGGTCACTGTCAATACACTAGTCCGAACTAAAACTCACACAGTATTTCATCTCGAACTTTGTTATTGTCATTATAATAATATTAAATTTGCTTACTGATGTATATACAGATAGTATGCTTTTATTTCCAAGGTTTAGGGGCTCTTTTGTATATAATTTCATGTCATTCGTTTGAACAGGAAATTATTGACTAAGCTCTTCGTAGGAACCAACTCCTGGTATACAAAGAAACTAGTAACAAGCTATATTTTGCCTTTGAGAATTTGTAATAACCTTGATAGGAGCGTTCTATGATGAACTTATTTAAGACTTCTTGTATTTATTCTATATAACAGTTTGTCAATATTGAGCTAGTATTTATATAAAGAAGTTCTTAATGCACTTTTTATTGATGTAAGCCGTCACTATTAATCGCAATTACAATGATTATGACCTCATAGAGAAAAAAAACATAAATTGTTTACTTATAAGAATCTTGTTGACGGAAGGCTGTTCTGCTCTGAGTCACGTAATCGTCTCAAAATTAATATCTGTCATCGCCATTTGCTTGTCCTCCTGTCACGTGTTGAATCATGATGCTATTATTTATTGCAAGTGTTTTTTTACTGTTACTTTAATTTTTATATTATTAAACCTTTAAATATGTATTTTTTATTTGTAGAAAGACATGTATGCAGTGGCGCTTATTGTTTTAATATTATTATTATAGGCCTATAAAAGAGTGATGTGAAGATAGGAATGGAATTTTAGACGAATTTTCTAGAGATAGCATACAATAATCTGTAATAAATCGATAATTATTAAAGAGCCTTTTGAGTATTCGTCATTCAAAACAGCAGTGAATGATTTTGCTATAATATTAAAGAAGGCGTTAAAAAATAACTTGTTAGTCGTAATAGACAAAAGATCGACATGAGAATGGATTTTCCGATTTAAATCTTAAAAAGAGAAATAAAATTTCCGATATGGTTAGATTCTAAAAATCAAGTGTATTAAAGTATAATCAAAGACAATGTTTTATATACAATTGAACCTTGCAATTTTATCTTTTGAAAATTACACCCTTTTATAGATGACAAAAAGATTTAATTTATTTAAAAAGTTTGAATTTAATCAAAACTTCTCCTTGTCGTTAATTGATTGCAATTTACGAACTTGACCTTAAACAATATATTATCTTTTAAATGCTATATTACAAAAATGGCAAGACATTATAAAGAGACATGACCTGTCGTGAGGTCACAAGTTCAAGTCCGAATACGGTAATTTAAAGTGACATACATTTATTAAACATTCAAAAATACTACAAGTTCATATGAAACAGAATATTAAAAATTAAATATTTTTAACGTAAGAAACTATTCATTTACACAGGTATGAAAAAATAGATACAGATTTGGACAGTTATTAATTTCTACGTAATATTTGACACAAGAACTGTATAAAAACACTATGGAATATTCGTATGTTGAATTTAAAGTTAATAATTATTTTTATTTAGTTTATTTAATTTAATTTACAATTTGACAACAAATTAGCTCGACTCTAGAAAAAAGTATATTCCTGGACAAAAACAACGACAGCATTAAATGTAAAAAGTTAAGAAGGAAAACTTGTAATATATTAAGACTATATACCAAATATCTCAATAATTCGTATGAAATAGGTATAATGTCATTCACGTCGGAGATAAAACCGTTCTTTATGTTTCAGTCATTCAAATTATCTTAACGAAATTGGGATCCATTTCAGATTAATGAAGTTATCCTTCTCAGCGTTTAAAACCAAACTCAAATTCCAAAATACATCTTTTTAATAAATTCCTTTGTTATCAGGTCGATATTTTCAATCGTCGTAAAACATATTTGATGTTATGAAATATGCTATGCATAATTTGATATGCAGAACAATGCAATTATCGAACGAAGCGTTTGAAGCGGCGCGTTCCTTTGTTCCAGGTAAAGCGTTCGATAATGCTGAAAATGGCGGAGTCCTGTGCCGACACCTCAAAGCAGACTCGCTTCCACGAGATGCACGTACAGAGGCACAACAACGTCAGCATACTGTACGCTGACATAGTCAACTTCACGCCTCTGTCTGAACGACTCAGCGCCTCCGACCTCGTGAAGACTTTGAACGAACTCTTTGGTAGATTCGATCAAATCGCTCAGGTAACTTTATTGTTAAAGCAACATAAGTTTCATTTATATTTTCATCAAAGCAACATCAGTCAACACATATTATTTATATCAGTAGTATTAAATAGTTATACTTTCTTCTTTCAGGCTGCAATTTTTAACATTATATTGTTAAATTTTAGAATTCCATAGTATATACCTTGATCTTATGATTTTTATAACAAACGAAATTTTCGAATGATTTCTAGATTTTCTTTCACTTTCCACATAAAAGTACGAGTATGTAAAGATTTGTTTGTTTAATCAAAAAGTTCATAGTAAGTGCGGATGAAATAAACATACAAGTTTATTAATGTTCGACTTGCAAAAGTTGAACATAGTGCTTTATACAAAATAAACACAAAAAAATCGTTCGACATTGAATACACTGTGTTTTAAACTATCAATATTTAACAATGTTTTTATTTCCTCAATAAAAACTAGTTAGAAATGTTTGTTTGGCAGCGCAAATAAAAACGGATTGAATCTGAAATAATGTTAGCACCGCGTAACATTACTGTCCTTTGTGGGTTGGAAACGAATGAATTCATTAATCTGTCCTAAGTTACATGAAAAACTTCTTAATTTAATATTTATCTAAGTTACATAGTAATAAATAAAAAAAAGATTTAATATTTCTCATCGAAGGTTTTCAAAATATGCAGATTTTTATAAATAAGTATAAACTAACAAATATGTACTTAGAAAGACAATAAGACAAGTGTATATAAAGGAAAATATAACGTCTTAATCAATCATACGGTGTAACTAGTCAATATTTTTAATGGATATAATTTATCTCTTCCAATAATTCTGTATAATTTTCTTTTTATAAATGACAACATGATTATTGAACTTTACATAAATTTGTATTAGTATAAGCTGAGGGAGTCTTATTGAAGTATTTTGTCAGTATATTGGTAGGTTATTGTCTAGACCAAAGCCATAATCAAAGTGTCATGTATCTAGGTCTGTCATGTTAGTTCTGTCAAGCCTATGGCTTTGCTTACAAACTTAGTTAAATTGCAGCATATTAAGACGTAACGTTTAATTTGAACACATATCTGACTTAAGCGCTTTACATTACAATAATACATGTTTTGTTTGGATAAGTAATACTTTGTTTTTCATTATATGTTATTGTTCAATCGACACGCTAATGGATTATATCAAAAACATTTATTTTCGTTTTAATCCAATTTAACATAACGAACAACGAAGTTCAATGAAACATGAACATTATTGGTTACTTATATTTTAATAAAATGTTTGAGATTTTAATACATTTCATAACGATTTAAACAAAATTTAATTAATAGGATTTCAGAGTAACTTCTTAATATTGAAGTGAATACAGTAATTTTGACTTATATCGATTTTCACTGTCTGAATTAAGATATGATACATTTATAAAAACCGAAAATAAATCGGAAATCATTGTATATCAGAAATATACATATTTGTAATAACAGACACTGCCCCAGCTAGTTATTTCTACTGAAAGTAAAATAAGAATAAGGAATGGCTTCGATTTATCTAAAGGGTCGTCTGTCCAACATATCAACGACGTTTTGCGGACAAAAGGACTTCCAATAAATATAACAGATTGGAGTATTTGATTTCTTTTGAAATTACTTCTATTTCTGACACTGGATTTTGGGCTGAAATCATGTTATTTCAGAATTATTTGTATTTAAATTTATCAAATGAAAATACGATTATATAAAATTATTAAAAAACTTTGTTACACTCAATATTAACTCAAATTAAAGATGCTTTATAAATATGAAATATTTATTCTTTTTTTTAGAAATATACTTGTCATGTCGATAAAGATAAAATACATATATTGAGCATTTGTTTATATTGTTTACTCGGGTAGTACTGAAAAATAATTTAGACAGTTAGGAATAATATATGTAGTTATAATATTATACTCGTACATTAGATGTCTTCAACATTGTATAAATGTGGTAAAACTAACGCCTCTGACATCCTAAACAAATATTTTCACTGCAATGTTCAGTCTATTTCGGTGTCACTGTGAGTTATAATTGTTGAGCGGATGTTACATGAAAATGTCCACTTCCTGAAGGCTTCTGTGATAGAATTAAACTTTAACAAAATATAAAACGTTCTAAATAAATATTAAGATTAGTAGTAGCGGAAATCTAAGATAGAAGGTAAATACAAAAAGCAAATCGTAAAATAATTCGAACCTAATTGTTTTAATATAGCTTGTTTTTATTGAATTACAAGTCATATTTTATTATTTTATATATATATGAATATTCTTTGTATATATATTTATTATTTGTTTAACAGGAGAATCAATGTATGAGGATCAAGATCCTAGGCGACTGTTACTATTGCGTGTCGGGTTTGCCAGTATCGAGACCGAATCACGCATACAACTGTGTGAACATGGGATTACAGATGATAGATGCTATACGGTACGTATACTTATAAAGACATTTACGTTCAGAGTCATATATATATTAGATATTGTTTAGACGATTTAAGGAAAATGTATGTAATACTAAGTTATTTTATACATTAAGGGTACTTACAATTATGGGTAACTTATATCAATATTTTTTTTCGCACATTTTTTTATGATACAAGCCCACTATATCTGCTAATAGTCTTAATAAAGTCATGCATTTTTAATGTTTTTCTTAATTAATTATCTACTTTAGGTACGTACTAGAGATAAAAAGGTTTAAATTAACTTTTCATTCATTTACGACTACTATACCTTTTTTATCTCTTTTATAATTGAACGTATAATGATGACTTGGTGTTGGATTAAAACTACAATAGCCAAGTTGTTTCGAATTAAAAATATTTTTTAGAATATATTGATGCTATAATACAAAAAACGTTAAACTTATTTCTATGAACTATGTCTTATATATGTATATGTGAAGTCGTGTTGTGTCTATGATTCGTCAAATATTATAACGCTGGCAGTTTCGTCCGCGAGGCGACCGGCTTCAACGTGGACATGAGGATAGGGATCCATACAGGGAACGTGCTCTGTGGAGTGTTGGGGTTGAGGAAGTGGCAGTTCGATGTGTGGAGCGATGACGTCACACTCGCCAACCACATGGAGTCCGGGGGTATAGCCGGGTAAGACAGACAGACATACATACATACATACATTTATTGTATAAGAACATTCATATTGAGGTCATGTTTTTTGACTTGTCAATAATGCTGATTTAAATTTTATTATATTTTACATTTTTTATTTATCGTTTACTTTACTAATTATTTGTATCATGAATCTAGTTACTGAGGTTTCTAGTTTTCTTTCATAAACCTATTTTGATACTACCTTGTGTGAAAATGTATGAAAGAAAAAATTAAGAAGTCCAAAAAATTACTTTTACTTCTGTCTTGTAACTATACAAATAGATAAATTAAATAGTACATATAATAAAAAATATTATTACATGTATATATGTATTTTATTTTTATATATATGACACAGAATCGAATGTAGAACGAATGTGGTTTATATATTACGAAGTAGTTCAGAGCTGAGATAAGTTTTAGTTGTTATGATACTGTATATTAAATAACTTTAGCGATCTGTGGTCTTATTAGCTTACAAAAGAACCTTCTGTTATAAATATATATTACATACAGTATTTTTGATTATATTGAAATAATTCTTAATAATATATTACATACAGTTGTAAGCATATAAGTAATATACAGTTGTAAGATTTTTCGGTAGAAATGTCTTTAAATAAATTTGTATTTGGTTAATCACACTAACTTGTCTGTATATAAAGAATAGAAATATTTCTAAATAATATATGTATTATGTTTCATGAGATTCGTTTTAAAAGCATTGCCATGTTATTCATTAGTCTTCTTCTACCTGGCAATTTCCCAGCTATAACCAGGGTCTGCCTTACATGTTGTGTATAGTTTTTGGCTATTTGTTTTTACGATCGGTCGCCTGCCTGACATCAACCCTCTTTTTGGGAATCAACATTAATCAGTGATGTCTAAATATTCTTAGAAAGTACATATGATTCGGAAAAATCACATTGGTACTTGCCTGGGCCAGGATCGAACTCGCGCCCTCGGCGACGAGAGGCGGGCCCTTTAACCACTTCGCCACCACTGACTCTGCCATGTTATTCATTAGTATTTGGGACTTATTATTTTTAAATGGTCTTTTTATTCAAATACAACTACCTATATACATATACATCATGCAGCATTAATTAACAGCGACATCAAAAGAAATATTCGCTTTAACGGAATATAATTTCTATCAGCAATTTGATTATCTCTTTATTTTTTAACTGGTTAGCAACAATTGGCTTGTTCAGTAAAAATTGCTTCTGTCATACAAGTATTCTTTTATATTGTTTGAAATATTAAATTTAAAATTTATATGTCCATATATTCAATTAATGAACAGTATCTGGTAATAAAAAATTGCTTTGCAAATAAAACAACCAAAAATCTGTGACAGTATAAAAAGATATCGGATGAATAATTTTAGGTAAAATGTAGTTTGAAATTCGACAAGCTTTATATGAAACTATTTTATATTTTGTTTTGAAAGATATTTTTGTTCCGCGGATAAAAGCCTCCGTGATGTTCCCGCGGAGGCTTTTATCCGTGAAAGCTGTCTCCTGTGGACTGTTTATTGAGTTATTGTACATTATATTTATATGCATTGCATTGAACTTTCCGTGAAAATAAAAATACACTCTCCATAATGTAATGGTCAAAGCGTTTTCATTTATTAACTTACAACAGATGCATAGCGTATGCAAGTAATTTATCAGTTATTTTAATATACATTTCGTAATATCTGAACTATACTATATAGTTTCATTTTAATATTGAATTTTATTCATCTGTAGTAGATATATTTTCGGTACATTATCGATTTTAATACGCGTCCCAAGTGTTAGTATTGATCAGTGGTCAATGTCAGTTCGTTCATATAATTCCAGTCGTGTTCATATCACGAAAGCGACTATGCTGCAGTTGGCGGGTAGGTTTGAAGTGGAACCAGGAGATGGTGCCTCCAGGGAAGGATACCTTGCCGATCATAAGGTGGAGACGTACCTTATTGTACCACCTAAGGTAGGTAGACCTTGGTAAGGTAGTTAGCTAGTAAAGTAGGTAGGCTTTAGTAAGGTAGGTAGGTAGAAAAGTAGGAAGGTAGGATGGTAGGTAGGTAGGAAGGTAGGTAAGTAGACCAGCATGAACTGACTCAATACATCATGACAGAAAATAATAATATATATTTCATAAGTCGTAAATTTAAAATAAAACCCTAATTACAAGTTCGTTTATATACTAGGAATATAGGTGGGTAGTTTTGTTTAACTATACAATAAAATTATTTTACGGTAAATATAAAAAATATACTTTTAAATGATTCTCATCTAGTTTGAAGTACTGAGGGAAATTTGTTTATTTTTAAATATAATGTGTGAAGCTCTATCATTGTGTAATGTAATCAATCATGAGTCCCGGGCTGTAAAAACATTTTATGACCATCATTTACATCGGATGGACTTCTTTTGTATCTTAAAAGGAAAAAATCATAACAGATACTAATATGCCATTAGTGGTTTTTAAATAATTAATCTATGGGGACATTTGGGGATTTTTTGCAAAAGCTTTTCATAGGGCTATGTAAAGTATTTATAATAATGTATGTATCATACTCGTATAAGGAAAGTTCATAGTTTTAAGTACAGTCTGGATATAAATAGATATTAATAAAGCTGTCAATAGTTCAAATCAAATGTTCTGTTATAACATTTTTATTATGACAGAAGCTCTGATAATAACGGCTATATAAATCAGGGATGGTTTTTAAATAAGAAATAAGAATGTCAAACGAATCAACGACTTGATAAGGTGCTAATTAAACCTCCTTTGTTTTGCTTAAAAGTCAAAGAAAACTGATACTTGTAAACTTCTGTTCGGGTTCTATATTTATTATTTGGTTAATTAGACTTTCGTAACAAAGATTCAACTTAAAATTATAGAAGTATTTAATTCCATTAAACTTAATCCAAGTATTAAATAATTCTATTAAAAAGATTCCTTTCTTTAATGCTAATTGTTATTATAATGTAATATTAAAGTGTCCATAACTTCATCAGAAACCTGGTGTTTCTGAGAACGGTCGTTTGTCAGTGTGTACTGTTGACCGTAAGGCGAGTATTGTCTCGTCTATATACCCTGATACTTCTCCGACCAAGCCTAAGGATATCAGCCCGGCACCATCACAGAACAGCTTTATTGAAACTGAAGTACAGCCCAGGGTTATGAGGGCGGAGTCCATGAGAAACCCTGGAGGTAAGAGGTTCTATATAATACATCCCTCATATAGGAAATACGACAGATGTAACTAAGATATATGAGTTATCAGGTTTTTGCTTCATTGAAATATTCATGTCTCTAACGATCTAATAGAACTTCCCGAGGATTTTTCTTTTTAAAAAGAATAGACTCATTCGCAAAACTAATTCTTTGATTCGTAAACAATTGAATTAATGAAAGTGAGATAATTCAGTAAAAGTGTTATCGCTGGAACTGAACTGAGGATCAGAATGGTGGTATTGTAAAAGGCAAAGGAGCTGATTTGGTATTTATCTGGAATGTAATGTGAACGAAGTATGAGGTGTAAATGAGTAATATGGGTAACATTCCACTACGAGTATAACAGATCGATTTACAGATAATCAATAAAGTCAATAGCTAAAATCCACTATTACTTGGGTCATCAATATCCATAAAAAGTTTAAGTAGAAACGATATGTATACGTTTCGTTTCAGATCTGAGCAGAAGAGCGTCAGTGAGAGTGGACGGTCCAAAGGCTGTTGCGTTTGATAACAACAACACCGCGAACACGGACGGCGTTGGGAACGGAACTGTTGTTAGCAAACCGAAGAGTCGCAGTGGATCTATTATAGGCGCCATCAGCCCTATAATGGGTACAGGTAAGGAAATACACGAACATGTACGTTATCGTAACAATATTGGATATTAAAGATCGTTTATTATTAATACTAGCTTTCCGCCCGCAGCTTTGCCCGGGTGGAGTTCGGTTATTCCGTGTTTCCAAGGGAACCTTTCAAAAGTCTGGGACAAAAACTATCCTATGTTCTTTCTCAATGTCTATTCTATCTCTGCACCAAATTTCATTAAAATCAGTTTTGTGGTTAAGGCGTGAAAGCGTAACAGACAGACAGACAGAGACAGAGTTACTTTCGTATTTATAATATTAGCAGGGATTAACAATTCATCCACACGAGAAACGTGAATTTTACACTATACATTTTCTATAATATGAGTTTTCAAGTATCGGATCAACATTGCTTTAACGAAAAACATAATTATAATGTAAAAATAGAAGAAGTTTTTTTAGGACATCATAGAATATTAGCAATAATAAGTTGAAGTACATTAATATAATTGTTTTGTTTGTTAGAATGTGAGACAGAAAGTGTACCCGTACTTCGTGAGACGGTACAACCGACGTTGTTTCATCGGATGTTGAGTACTATATCCGTGGAGTCACTAAGTTAGTTGATATGACCCCAACACGCGAATGTCCCGCACGGAATACTGCCACAAACCCTTATGTTCTGATACCTTCATCATGCGTGCATGATAGCATCAGATTTAATTAAGTCCTTGATTCGCCAAAAAAAAAATAGGTTTTCATGGGCCATGCAGCGGTTTTCAATAATTCATTACGCTCATTTGAGTAAGATTCCAAATTAAAGCTCAGTTTAGTCGGTGTTACCAATAATTCATTAGTTTTCTTTTATGGGATTTTTTTTAACGAGCATAGAAATTCGCCTTCAAGAAATAAATAGAATTTAAAACTAGACGTAAAAATTTAGTTACCTATAGACCTCCTCTCATACCAAAAAAATATATCCAATCCCTGTTTCCTATTAAAGGCTGTATTAAGGTATTCTGTTTTATGTTACAGCGACTCCTGGAGTGCCTTCAAGGTCACGACCTTCAAGCAAGATGACCAAATACGTGGAGTGCTGGGGCGCGGACAAGCCTTTCGCTAACATCACAGACTCTACATTAGCTAAGAATATTGGAATATCCGTGAGTATTACCTACAGAATAAAAACGATTAGATTATTGGGTCTAAATATGCCTTTGGAGGTTTTTCAAAGACCTATAATTTGGAGTGCTCTAAAATTCAAACCTATAGTTTTTTTTTAACCTGGATAGCCCAACTATTACAAAAACTATCATGTTGCAGATGTCTTAGGCCTATAGGGAAAATCACCATCAATTAGGGTGTTATTAACAGTAATTAATGAAATAACAAGTTTTTTAAATCACTCAGAAAGTTAACATATATAATGTCTTCCTGTTAATTTCATTATAATTAAATATATCATACATGCGTAAAGAGGCAGAATGTAATTTCAATGTTGACGTAAGGAAACCTATATCAACTAATCTGTATTGTATGTCATTTCCAGAGTTTAGCGATGATAGAACAACATCTCCTGCCGCAGAGGACTTGTTGTGACTGCAGGTAGCTATAGATAGCTAATATATAGATATTACTTTATAAAATAAATAATTAATAATGAGATCTAAGACTTTCACGAGTAATCATTTAAATGAAACAAATATATTCGGATTACTACGCGTTATTTTATTCTTCTTTTTTTCATTTTGCCTTTTCTTGATCACGGTTGCTGCAAAATAACCAAAACGTTGGGAGTATGTTTTTATAAAAATAAAATACGCGTAGCATAATCTGAAAAAATCAGTTTCATTTAAGCATTATATTTTTCTATTCGATTTTTAATACAAATATTAACTCGATCATGGATTATTATCAAATAATTATAATAATTAAAACACTGTTTTCCTATAGTAACTATTTTTATCCATATTCCTAGCGATCATTCAGACGGTCTTCACCGAGTGACGCTCGGGTTCAAGTGTAGTGAACAGGAGCGTCGCTACAGCGCTGAGCCCGACCACCAGTTCAAGTACTACGTGTCGTGTGCGGCCGCGCTGTTCATACTGATGGCAGCGCTGCAGCTGCTGACTGTACACAGGTACGAATAGCTGATCTTAGGATATGCTGACTGTGGCTAGAGATAAAATATATACGGTCTAATAATAATCTTTATTTCGAACACACATAGGGTACAAAAAATAATAGAAAATAAAAGAACATAGGATAGGTACATTAAAAAAGAAATGTGGTTTAATACTGGGTTTGAAAAGAAACGTCGTTGTAGCTTTAAGTCATATTTAATAATATTAGAAGATTTTAACATAACACAACGAAATCTTAGGTCCACCATAATATATGGATGGACACATGAGATGTTTTATAAAGGTGACTTTACACTAGACTTAATTCATTAATATAGCATACACACTATATTTATTACACTTCAACGGTATACAATAACTAGTGTATCAATTTGAGATGTTGTTAACACCATGGTACCATACTGTGGTTGAATGTATAATGTACATGGTGTATCGTAAAATAACCTTACATTCATAATAAAGGGTGTTTTTCTAATGTACTATCTAAGTTAGAGTAAGCAATTTCAATGACTCCAAGTTTCTGTTGTATATACTAGTTATATTTCATGTCTGATGAGATAAAACCAGTGTTAGCCACATCCTAGAACTTTTTGCTTAGAATGACGTTTATTCTCTCTTCTTTAGTTAGTGGCCTTTCTTTAGGTTTCGCCAACGTCATGTCACGTTTGTTCTTTTGAACATCTTTTTAATATTTTTTTTGGGCTATTATATATTATATGTATTCATGTTAAAGTTCATGTTTCAACCACATTCTAACTGAGTTCTCCTGTGTGTTTCCAGGAGTGTGGTGATATACGCGTCCTTCGGGCCGACTCTACTAACGTTGTCAGTGTTTACGTTTCTGTGTTGGTGGGACGGATCACAGCCTGACAGCTACGACAACTGCACCAAACCTGCTCAGGTATACAGGGTGTAGCGTAAACAGGATGTACAGGGTGTAGGGAGATCTGAAGGAATACTACGATAGATAGAAAATATTAGTGTTCTGTTGACCGTAATATACACTGAATATACATAGTGAATGAGAGCAAATTTGACCTATTATAATTTAATTTACAACTTCTAAATTTCAAATCATCAATCAATTTCAGTTATTTTATTGTGATGATTTTCTGGAAACCTACAAATAAGTCAATGCGTTTTGTTTATGATATCTAAAACTTTATCACTCAATCAAAACAGTCATATAGTTTGTTTAATATTCGTTATGTTTATTCTCAGGTGGTTTCAAACAACTGGTACATCAGGCTGACCATGTTCGTGGTATCTGTCATACTGATCAGTACTTGTGCTGTTATTAATTTGGTAATTATAATGTTAATTATTACAAATAATAATTTACATGGTAGAGCCAAGCTGTAGTCAGTTTGTATCTCTTGTTATGCCTTGCTTGTCTTGGAACGTATCCCTCCCTTAAGAGTATCGATGTCATTGACAACAAGCGTTTCAAGATGTCTTTCATTCGATGATTTAGAGAGTTGCATGATTGACCATTCCTTATACATAATCTTTCCTTACCATAAATTTCTCCCGAAATATTGGGCACGTGACGTGTATTAATCTAAGTCCTTCCTAAATGATTGAGAGTATTACATTAGCACGGGGTCCTAAGGTACCCGATGAAACGATGTACCGCTTCCCGCTTGTTAGCCCACACGTCTTTATCCTGCATATCAATGATAGCTGCCAAACGTTTCTATGGGGAAACCGAACTAAAATATCTATAGAGCAGGTTTCTGAATGGGCATAATTAAATCTTGTTCAGGTCAACCCCCCCAAAAAGATGCATTTCTGGAAGCTTAGCAAATTAAATAAAAAAAAACACATATTGCACGTTACCAACATTCCAGGGCGTCTACTAATATTAGCTCAACAAGAGAATATAGTGTTCTCTGTGGCCTACATTGCGAAAGAGTTTGAATATTCGAATCATTTCGGAAAAAAATCTAAATCAAGTGGGAAATAAGCCTCTTTTTTATACAGTATTAATATTTATAATTAAATATATATGTATGTATGTAATGCTCTATACTGCTTTCAGTTCCAGGAGTTCATCTATCAAGAGTATTCGGTGGAGGTTTTTGACGACAGCTACAACGACACTAACATTACAACCGTCTTCACTCACATGGACATCGACTCCACTCCGGTGAGTATCTTACTAAACAACTTCACGATTATTATGTCCTTAACCCTTTGTTGGTAATAAATATACTCTTAGTATATTGTTTTATCTATAATACATTTTGAGTAATCCACTATTTGCTATCTCATCTCCTCTATACTAAAGCTCCGTGTGTATGTCCGTCACCTCATTTCTCAGTACTCTACTATACTAAAGATTTCAATGCCTCTATGAGTTAACCACTATATGCTGTCTCATCTTCCATACTATATCTCTATATGTAATCCACTATTTTCTATCTCAGCTCCAAAGCTTCATGTATCTGTCCGTCATCTTATTCCTCAGTACTCTACTTTAATAAAGATTTCAATGCTTCTATGTGTAACTCTATGAGTTGACCACTATATGTTCTCTCAACTTCCATACTATATCTCTATATGTTTGTCGTAGTGTACCTCTATGAGTTGATCGTTATTTTTTGTCTCAGTTTCTATATCTCTATCTCTCTCTATGTAGAGCTACGTGTACAGTTCGGTGTTGTCCCTGGCGTGCGTGTCAGTGTTCCTCCGCGGCGGGTTCCTAGTGAAGGCTGTGCTCACGTCGCTCACACTGCTCGCTCACCTCACCGTATACAACTACGCGATGCTGTTCACGCTCTACCAGACACACACTGAGTTAATATTATATTATATATTAGAAAGTATTATAAAAGCCTATTATTGTCCTCAAAAAATTTCTTTTTGGTGTTTTTTTTTGGTTAAATTCGTTCTGTTTAGAAAAAGCTAAGAAAACAGAGCTCATACAGCCATGTATTTTTCAATTTTCATAGACTTTAGAAGCTATTTCATTTTTTTTAATGAAACTAATATTTCGGGTGTACTACGCGATTTTGTATGTAGTTTCTAATCAAAAATAAAAATAATAATTTAATATTATTAACATAAATGCAGAATGAAATTCACAACCAAGAGAGGCCAACAAGCGACTGTTTTAATAAAAATAAGTTTCACATATAATTTAATAATAATATTAATAGAATCCTATACTATTCTTAAAAATTTCTAAGATAAAATAAAGATAATGTCTTATAATGGTATGTTTATATCAGATTCCCTTCCCTGCCGTACTCCGCTAAGGCTGGCCTGGTGTTAGTGTTCCTAGCTGCTCTACTTCACATACTGGACAGACAGATAGAGTTCACATCCAGGACGGACTTCCTGTGGAAAGACAAATTGAAGCTTGAACAGGAGGAAGTGGAAACTATGAGAGGAATCAATAAGGTAGAGTTATAGTGATGGGGAAAGGTAATATATTTGAACTATAAACCATTTGTGTAAAGAAGTAGAGTCAAATATTGTGGTCTTATATTTTAGAGCGTTTTTTCCAATAAGTCTTAACTCTATATGAATAAATTTCATTTATAATAAATAATTATTCTCTTTTTATTTATATAATTCCAGATTCTTCTCGAGAACATTCTACCAGCTCATGTAGCTCAACATTTTCTTACATCAGTCGCATCCAAGGTACGCCTAAATAAATACTATCCTTTGAGGTAACCTAAAATATTTTTTACCAATAAATAAAGAAATCGCTACATAATACTTGGAATTCTCTTCTTGGATATTAATTGAGAACTCTATTACTATTTCAATTATAAGTTTATATATCTATATCCTCACTTATATGTCAACTATACAATGTACTGAGCTCTACTTAAAGTCTATCTCTACATGTATCAGGACGAGCTCTACCACGAGCGTTACTCAAGTATAGCGGTGATGTTCGCCTCCATACCTAACTACAAGGAGTTCTACGACGAGACTGACGTCAACAAACAAGGCTTGGAGTGTCTGAGGCTGCTCAATGAGATCATATGTGACTTTGATAAGGTTGTATATACACACTTACATATACACACACATACAAAGAAATTATATAAGATAGAGGATCGATTTGTTATTAAATATTATTGTATTAATTATGATTTCGACGGTCGGTGGATGCAATGAAACCAAAATTATTTGACTTAATTTAATTATAAAGTAAATTACAACTAAGGTTCGACTACGTTGCACAAAGGTTGAACAAATAGTGACAATAATCTAATTAAATTTTTAACAGAAGTATTATAATCTAAAAACATAAAAGAAATATAAAACCAAAAACTGTCTTCACACGGAACTGCTGAGTCAGACCCGTGTAGAATAGACGAGTTTACCAGAAGCTAAGGCGTCCTACGATTACACCGTATAAATATAATTATATTTTAATTAAACGACCACTTATGACACCGTCACATATTTATCACAGTATCTTTATTACTCAAACATATAAACATGATAGGCAACACGTTCCGTCTAAAATAAACTTTAATTCACTTTATCATATAATTGTTAATGATGTATTTGTATTAATTATATGAATATATTTTCCAGTTGCTGTTGAAGCCGAAGTTCAGTTGCATTGAAAAAATCAAAACAATCGGCAGCACCTACATGATAGCGTCCGGACTACGGCCGGGGAAAGAAGAACAGATTGTTAGTAGAGATACTCTACATACACATTGGACATATAACACTGATTGACCTTGAAATATACTGAACAGATATAGATGAAACTTTACAATAATGTAGTTTAGACATAGCATCGATAATTAACATATATGGTTCAAATTGTTTCTTCATTCATTTGTATGTAGTTGAAGTACTCTGATATTGACGAAAGATGTCGCTGACTTGATTCATATATCTTTTATATGAATTAAAGATTATTTCTCTGAGTATAATATCGAAAATAATATTAATTACATCCCTACTAATATTATAAATACGAAAGTAACTCTATCTGTCTATCTGTTACGCTTTCACGTCTAAACTACTGAACTGATTTTAATGAAATTTGGTACAGAGATAGACTTGACCTTGAGAAAGAACATAGGATAGTTTTTATCCCCGATTTTTAAAAGGTTCTCTTCGAAACGCGATATAACCGAACTCCACGCGGACGAAGCTGCGGGCGGAAATCTGGTTTAGCATAAAAAAATATTGATTTTATTACTATCGATAACATGAAGAACTCTATATTATTTCAGGATGGGAACAGTAAAGAAGAGCACACTGTCGCTATATTGATAGAGTTTGCGGTCGCCCTCATGTCGATACTAGACCAGATTAACAGAGAGTCCTTCCAGAGGTTCAAGTTGAGGATAGGTGAGTAATACTGGAACTTGAAGTCAGACGTATTATTATGAGAAATATGGCTTACGAGCAGTAGTGTTACCTGATGGGCAGTAGTTACTGTAGCAAACCTTGGTTGTTGTTGAAAGTTTGAAATCACCAACTAGCATTGAGCAAGCTTGGTGATTTTTTTTTATGGGAAAAGGGGGCAATCGAGCAGACGGCCGACCTGATGTAGGTAGTACCGTCGCTCATGGATATGTCCAATGTAGATTTGCGGATGTGTTGCCGCCCTTGATTGGGGAAATGTGGGAGGAAAAGGTGGGAAAGGGAGGGAAAGGAAAGGTCAGGAAAGGATGGGAAAAGGCAACCGGCTCTCTCACTCACCGAACTAAACGCAGCCATGAAAGACTACTTCACGTCGATCTTCTGTGAAACGGTGGTACTACCCCGATTGAGCCACCTTATGTTCGAGCTGTAGTTACTTGACTATAGCTAGACTCTACCACTTCGTGTATTAATCTTCTAACCTTCTCCATGTGAGAAGAAGCTATGCTCAGCAGTAAGCTGATAATCATGATGATGATGATGATGTGTCCTTTATATATCCAGGCGTGTCTCACGGGCCGGTCATAGCTGGCGTGGTGGGTGCGCAGAAGCCTCAGTACGACATCTGGGGCAACACCGTGAATGTAGCCTCCCGTATGGACTCCACGGGCCTCATGGGACGGATACACGTCACTGAAGACACCGCCAGGTTCGTGTATTAATATTATACACGGGATTTTATTTTATTTATTTATTTAATTACAAAGAGTACATACGTGTAACATGGTTTTACACTTAAGGGTGTTAACATAAACTCATTCAAGTTTTTCCGAAAACCAGTGTCGTCAATTTTACATTTTACACTTATACAGGGTGACTGGTGAATTACTATCGATACTTGAGGACGTGATATTTGACGATCATATATGACAAAATAAAAATTAATATAACATAAATATTAATAAACTTCTAAGTAAAGTTAACCAAAAGTTATGTAATTAATTACGCATCGTGTGAACACCATACAGATTAGGTATACACACACACACACACACACACGCGTGCGGCGGCGTGTTGTTGTATCAGCACGCCGCCGCACGCTTCCACACTTGGAACACTTGGAACGTGTCCACACTTTATTTATACAGAAATTTGATCAAAAATTAAGTACCTATTTTTTTTTACATAATTCGAATGAGAATCATGTACCGAGTGTTCTCCTTAAATATTGATAGTAATTCACCAGTCACCCTGTATAATTAATGGATAACACTAAAATAACTAAGAAAACAAATAAGATAAAATAAAGCAAAAATATTTGATATAATTAAATACAAAAAAAAATCTAACTACATAATATTTTATTTGTACAGAAAAATATTAACGAGGGTATGTCTTGCGCTTGATGTATGGATGTTTGCTGCTCTTTAACATAAAATGTATTGAACGAATTTTATTGGAACTTTCAAATACCCTAACTAAGAAAGCGGGATAAAATAAAATCTTTTATTATCATCACTTTACTTCAGTGACCCGTGTAGTTTGTAAGGCAAATCATAACAGTTGTAAGTAGTTTGAAGTTACATAACACAGACGATGGATGGCGTTACTAGTTGTTTTACATATGTGATTTATATTTTTATCTAAAACCGTTTTGTATTCCTTTATGCTTAATTACATACAATGGTTCTATAAAAATATTCAACGTAGCGCCTGCAATAATAAAATATCAATTGCATCCTAAATCTAAATTGCGAGTATTTATTTGATAACATTAATACGTTTAAGTATGTAAGTACATAAAATAATATATTATTTCCAGGGTGTTAATGAACGCGGGGTACACCTGTGAGTGTCGAGGTCCTACGTTTGTTAAAGGTAAAGGAACTTTGATTACATATTTCGTGAAAACACCGAACGTGGGAGGCGGACTATGAATATACAGGAGACATTAGGAAAATTGTATTAATGTATAACTAGGTTAAATAATAAAGCCGAAACAATATATTAAGAAATTCGACTTAGAAATATTTCCAATAACTCATTTTAATGTTAAGAAAGACGTTTAAAAGTTTGAAAAATTAAAACTACCCTCTACCTCCACACCTCTCTATAACCAATACCTTATGTACCTTATATATACATATTAAAATATGTACACATACATATATGTAATATCGTTTGTTGAAGTGTTGTATCTAACAAACATTTAATATATAAATAATGGTCGGTGATAGTAATACTCACTAGTGTAATGTATTCTCATTTCAATTAATAATTATAAAAATCATTATCAAGGCCTATTTTTATAAACATTATTTTTAATGTAATTATATTAACTAGATGATTATTTTTATTTATTTTAACAAAAAATAATAATTTATAGTTTTTTAATTTCTTTCGATATTTAATTGTATAAAAATTGCATTTATTATAAATACATGTTGTTAAAACTTGATTGATATCTGTGTAATTATTAATTATGATATATTAAGTAGAGAATTGCTCATTATGAATGTGTATTGATAATAAAGCCAAATTAATATGAAATATTAATGTGTGATTTGGGAATATATGATGTGTAATGTTTATGACATTAAATATGTATTGAATCAAATTTGTTTTAGTATATATGACACTAACCTTCTTCTTCTACCTGGCAATTTCCCAGCTATAGCCAGGGTCTGCCTTACATGTTTGTTAATAGTTTTGGCTAATTGTTTTTACGACCGGCCGCCTGACTGACATCAACCCTCTTTGGGAATGCATTAATCAGTGATGTCTAAATACTCTTAGAAAGTACATATGACTCGGAAAAATCACATTAGTACTTGCTAGGGCCAGGATTGAACCCGCCGCCTTGTGCATGAGAGGCCGGCCTTTTAACCACTAAGCCACCACTGACTTAAAATACTAAAATATATATATTCCCTTAAACATCATCATATAATATTTAATTTAAACACGTATGTAGACTTCACGCTTCACACAGGATTCGAATCTTGGACTTTTCGTGTATAAATTTGTATATATTGAGCCGTTTAATTGGTAATCATCGACCACCGAGTCTTGATGTATATCATCTTCGTCACACTATTGTTCCGTTCTTTATTCGGCGCAAGTGTAATTGAATCCTCGTATATTTTAATATATTACAATTTGTCATCGCCGTCGATAATTGAAAACGAATAAGAAAGCCTTTAAAGACTTTAATTGTAGCCGCCTCTCTGACATTTGGTTGGACGTGGTCGAGAATATTCCATAATTTACATTTTATTATATTAATATTAAAAATGGTAAAAGATATTTGATGATAACACGAGATAAGGAAATTATTATTAAATTTAATACTTTAACGAACTCGTCTTGAAGGGTAATCGGTAAGTACGATGACGACTACTAAGTGTGGTCTAGACTGAACTGGTAATATTTGGTAATCTATTTTGATTAATAATAATACTTTCTTTGTTTATTTTTAGCAATTTAACAAAAGTAAATATAGTTCAACAAAAAAATATTATATATGACTTTTTTGTATATATTTAATATTAATAATTAATAATCAATGAAGTGCTCTTCAATCTCTCGAATGTATCATTATAACGCGAGCATACGACTTGGTACCGCCAGACTGGACTTGTCAAAATATAGATTAATTACAATAGTAGTTAACGTGAGAACAGTTTTATTTAATTATAGCTCTGTGGTTATAATTATGTTTGTACTAATTATTAGTTTGCTACAATCAATTATATTTAAATGTACTTCGTGATTCTATTGAATTAACAGAGATTCGGATCAAATATACGGTGTGAGAATATAGTTTAGTTGAAATTTATATTAAGTTTTTATTATTAACTTATAATTTATAGTATCATGAACATTAACGTATTGAATTAAAGAAATAACAAAATAACTTATTAATTAAATTATTGGAGAAATTAATTTAAAACAAAATAAAGGGAATCTATTTTAAGAAGTTATAAAAGTACGTATTATATAATAATTTTAATCATAAATTATTATCTACATCAGACGATAAGGAAATACTGAAACAAATTGATGTATAATATGTTAAATTAATTAACTTAGTCAATAAATATTTTACAAAAAAGTTAAACTCGTGAACAGACTTCTTATAATAACAGCTGAGCAAGTTTTAAGTTAAAGAATAAACAGTTACAGACGTACTGACAGTTATCGTTATACAAACTTGAAAGTTTGATTTATCAATGGATTTCGCAAATGGAGAATTTGTATATTTGTATATGTATTATATAATTCTACTGTACATGTGTATGTCACTGATATCATAAAAGACTGGACCGATTTGATTGAATTTTTGTGTGCATTTGGTTAGAGCCAGAGATGGTTTACATTCACAAATCATCCCGTCAGATGGCGCTGAAGTCTGCATCTAGGTTATGTAAAATGTTTAACAAACTATACTTTTCTAGTGGAAACCATTTCTGAGGTTCACGCGAAAGCAGTTGCCGCAAAAGTATGTTTCATATTCCTGTATAAACAATAGTTCTATCCTGGAACTACTCATACATAAATTTATTCTATAAGTTAGATTAAATTTTAAATATATGACAATACAGCATAATATTTTAACACGAAGTAACAGAGACAAGTTCAATGGTCACTTGATATCGGTTAAACTATTTAAATATTTTTAAATATCAATATAAAGTCATTAGTCTTTTAGTAAGTTATTCGTGTCAGCTAATACCCAAGTTCTGATTCATATGTAGGTATGTAGTTTTATGGTGCTCGTAAAGCACAGTATATATCTGTGAATGGTCCTTATAAAATTTTATAGTGAACTGTGGCACGCAATATCAATTTTTGATTAATGTCTCTTAATTGAGACGTATCTCTATTATTACAGTATGAGAACAACAAATTTGTACTCGTAATTAACTAATAGCTAGTTGGTACGACCTAACTTATTCTATACAATAGAATAACTGTTAAAATTTTATGAGTCATTTCACAAGTAAATTACAATGTTGCTCTACTTCGAATGACTTTATCCATCATTTCAATAATAGTAACTAGAAGTTTGACAGCTTATAATAAGGAAGTTATTATAATTAAAGCCACAGCCGGTTATAAAACAGAGTCGATGTACATTATTCTGTGTAATTTGTTGTTCCTCCTATTGTTTAGAAGCGAACAGTAGTAAACAATAAAAGCTACAGTCTCGCTACTTGTGTCTGAACGCTTTATTACAACTCTTAACTAATTAGTTAGTTAGACTATCTAGTTAATTATACTAGCATACTTAATACACTTTACGTATACACGTTGCAAAATTTATGAAGTGATGTATGTTCTCGTCTTATATTCTGATAGTGACATGTTCTTTTATCAGTTCTGAGTGTACACATAACAGCAATAAATCAATATAAAACTTACAACATTTATAATATAACCAGCATTGACATTTAAAAAGCGATAAAACTGGCCTAGAGCATATAACACTCAATTTCAATATCTCGATCTAAATAGCACTACCGGTTCATGTATTATCATTTGTGAACATTCGCGATAACAATCGCAATTTTAATAACAAATGTCTCAATAAATCAATAATTGCGATGTAAAGATGTGGCTAGTAACGATCGTTTTATATGTGTGCCGGAGAAAGGCCTGCTTTTTTAAAGGTCCGTATTTTAACCTGTACAGCGATGATATACGAGTGGTGTTCTGCACCAGTCAACATAACATTATATATCATCAATTTAAGTACAATCATTCAGAGTAATCTCTCACTGGTTAGGAATTACTTCAGACTTTAAATAAAAATTATAATTCTCATACCGGCGGCACGGCAGCTTTTAACAGCACTTCGCTCAATGACCAAGATTGAATAGCAAATAAATGTGAAACAATAAGAGTTAAAGAAAAATCAGTTCATAATTTAAAGACTATAGAGTATAGTATGTATTATCACAATATGCTGATTTTTTTACGAAATATTTCACCTATTGTTTGATATCAAATTTACTATTATTTAGTATAAATTTATGTTCCATAGAAAAATCCAAAGATTTCATCATATTTAATTTAAAAAAAATCTCAAGTTTTATTTCTTTTTTACAAAAGAAACAATTTTGAATCATAATTTTTATTAAATTATAAATATCATCGTGCATACACTACCTTACTTTTGCAATCGAAATCAGCTTAAAAATTATTCATACTTTGACATGGTATTGTGTGATAATTTTCGACTTTAAATATGGGATATAAATTAGTACTTTCCATCAAGATGACCCATTTCGTTCATTTTTATGTAAAGCAATCTCCGTGATTCGTATCTCGGTAACAAGAAGGCATACAATTTCAGATCGCTGTGTTTTTTTGATGAAATTTATGGATACAGTTTAAATTTTATTGGAATGAAAGTTGAGAGGAAGACTTAACCGAATGATATCAGCCTGGTCAGTGGTGTGAGGGTACTTAAAGAAACTAGATGCTATCTATATACATATTATATTTTAAGGATTTACAATACTACTGCGGAGCATTAAAATGTTAACAAGTCTATAAAGACTGTAATAAAACCGTTTACTGTTGTATTAGTTCGATATGAAACATTTTGAAATAAGGAAAATGTATTGCTTTATGTATGAAATGTTAAGTCTAGATTATTATGACGTGAAGCACGCTCGGTCTCCGCCTCTTTAGGAAACGGACACATTTCAAGATTTAAATTATGGAGGTCATTCCTTACATTAAGAACATATGCTGTTGTCAAATTATTATAAATAGTTATGCTCAATCTGTGAAACAATACTTTTTGATTGATATATTGTGAACACGGGATCCAAAGTCATTTTTCGCGCCTATTTAGGAGCGGTCCATTTATAACACCCGGTTTCATACGCCGAATGTATTTATCATCAAAGGTCAAGTGTCGTCCCTT